TTATTTCTCGCATAACTTTTTGAAGTAAGTATGATATATCTACTGTTTAGTATTGAATGTTGGGAAGAGTTGGTTTGTCTACCCAAAGTGCAATTGTTGTTTATTGGGATCGTTGATGTTTTTGCTACTTCAGAATTGTAAGCTGAATTGTACTAGTTTGAGTATGTAGCATGCATATAAATATATTTAAATAAAGACATGTGAATGAAACTTGACTCTTTGAAGTTTTATGTTTCATTGCAAGCAGGAAGATTGCTACAAAATAGCTGCCTTCTTGAGCACTGCTCTGTTTTAGTTAACTTCAAGCTATGCTATTTTCTAGACTTTAAAAGCTTCTCAAAATAATATTGAGGTTTCTCAGCAAAACATGAGAAACGTTTCTTCAGCTTACTGGGTTTTAATGTTTCATTGGTTAATCTATCACTATAAATGATACTTTCTGGAGTAGAATTAATTCATCACTATGCCAAGTGAATTCCATTGCTAAATAACTGCCTGAACAAAAATATATATTTTAGTGCATAGACTTTAATCTTGCTTACTGTGGAAGAACATTTTTCTTTTTATTTTCTTTTTCACTTATATTTCTATTGTAGTCTGTTGCTTCATCCTCTCATCTTTGTATTTCCATTTCTTATTAGCAAATGTATCTCTTATGAACCTTAGGACATGTCATGTTACCTCTTATCCAATGACTACCACAATGCCTCATTGGCAATCAAATTATATCCTTTCAATAGTTACTTATGGATTAAATATCCCTGTTTTTGTTACTTGGCAGTTTTACATTATACCAGTGACAGCTTTTAAAATTTTAACATTTTTAGGTGAAAGCTAGTTTGTCAACTAACTCGCCGTAGATTTTTTTAAAAATGCATTAACCATAATCGTGTCAATTTTCATTTGGAGAGACAGAGAGAGTTCTCAGATGGAATATCACACAAATCAATCTAGAGTTCTGTCTAGAAGCATAAATTTCAGGCTCAAATTATTTTATTTCAGATACATAACATAAAATCTAGTTTTCTGGAGAAGTCTATAATTATGGGGAACAGGAAAAAAAAGATAAAAAGAAAAGAATCACCATCAGCAAGATGGTTGGACCTAGTTGCAAGAATGAAGGTATCACATTGCTGGACAGATTGCCCTGGAAAAAAAACTTATCTATGTAGTCATTAAGAGTTGACATTAACTTTTGGGCACTTAATCATATCAATCAATCAGTCAGTCAGTCAGTCAGTCAGTCAGTCAATCAATTAATAATTACATAATTATAAAAAAGAAAGAGTAAGATGCTTCTAGAAGATGTTTGTACCATTCTAGTGTACTGTGACATTCTGGTTGAGAATCGGTGTTTCAAAAGTTTTTTTCTGCTGCAACTCGGCAATGTATTACTTCTGTTATTCGAGTCTCATCACTCAGCATTGTTATGGTTTCCCATCAACAGATCTACGTGCAGCTGATCAAGCTCTTCTGTCTAAGCTGAATCAATTGGTTGTGCTTAAAAAGAAAACATATATTGCTGACTGCCAAAGAGCATGTGGAGTTGCTGAGCAATACAAAGAAGTCTAATAAAGATATAGTATTTGCCATAAAACTTTAGTTTTGGAAAGAAGTAGAAACTTCCCGGAAGAAGCTAACTATACACAAAAGTGGAAACAGTATACACACAATAGCCTTAAAATTACCCTGTGGTAAAGTGGGAGCCGGTAAATTCAGTAAAGTCACTTATATTCTAATAGCTTGCCCCGTCAGTGTTGGTGGGGGTGGTCTTGGAGGGTCTTTAGATGGGCTGTTTATTGTTGGCAGTTCCTTGATTGGAGTATTGTTTATTTGATTGTTCATCTGATGTTAATCTTGGAGCATGTATTATCATGCCACTGAATTTAATCTCTTTAATCTCCCTAACTCTAACCCTTGATTAACAACCCTAATTGTAACTAGAAACTCTCTGACACTGTTATATGTTGAAAAAGCACCAGGACTATATTGCACAATCTGGCATAGTCTGGACTATATTGCTTAGTCCAGCTACCTTCATTGCCTTCAACTGCACAGTGGGAACAGGAAAGTTCATAAATTGCAGTCATGTGACTAAGGCCAAAAGTACAAGGACTGATTGTAATTATCACTTGTTCAGCATTGTTGTAAAGTTTGAATGGTATCTGAACAAGAGGTTGTTAAATGAGGACTACCGTATTATCTGAATAAAACTCCCATACCAGTAAACAGTACTGCCTGTGAAGCATTGGAGTCAAATTGACATGCCAAGCCATTCTCATCACTGCCTGAACCTGTATTCTGAATAAGCTGAGCCTTTGGAAAGATCTTTGAGGATGGCCTCATGTAGAGTGTTGGTGAAGTCGTTCACCAGTTTAATAACCATGGGATCGCAATCCAGTTTCTCTTGCAAAGTATAGCATCATTTATCTATATTAACATTCTTAATACCTCTACACAATTATTTATTGGAAGATCCCCAGCAAGAATTTTTCAGTGATTAGTAGTAATATATTGGCCAACCATGCCTACTAGCTGTTTGTCCATTATCTATTGTCTATTGCTACTAATTTGAGCAACTAAAGCAAAGACCACTTTATTAGCACTATCCATCTTTATGTCTTGGGTGAAATTGAAAAATTGAATTAACAACAAAACCAGGATTAAAGCATCAAGAACTCCAACAGAATATCTTATTCACAAATACATTTATTTTGCAGTTTGCCGATAAAGTTATCTAAAACAACTGTCATGTACAAAATTCATGTCTCTGTGACTTGGCAAAGAACATTCTATCTCTGATATTTAGGGCTGGATAAATGCCACAAATAAAATATTTGCACTACTCAAGTTGCAATTTTGGCCTAATTTTGACACAATTTTCTGCTTGTGATATAATTATTAATGCAGACATCACATGTATTTGAGATTTCATTTTCTTTGACATCTTTTGAAAAAAACAAATAGCTAAAAGCATGTAAATTGCTGAAGACCAGAACATTTTGGAGCTTCACATGCAAGAAGTAAATGATCATGTCTCTCAGTTCATTGTATATGAATTCTTCAGTACTGCTTTTCAATAGGTTTTTATTCATATGCTTTTATGTATTTAATATTATTTAATCTTAATAATATTTAATAATATTTCTTCCTTGTTTTTCTTTCTCCAAAGCAAGACTACCTTGCATTCAAAGAACTGCCTTCTGTACCTATGGAATGTAATTTATTGATTACAAGAAAAATAAGAAGAAATATATACTAAAATGAGAAGTGGGTTCGTAGATTTGTACAGAAATTGCATGTGCTTATACAGATAGACAGATACAATTCATAAATAGTATAACTTAAAAATATATTTCTGCTTAAGAAGAAAGATAGAATTATAGTTGCTTATTCAGTTAATTGCTCAGATGATAACCATAGAAAACTTCAATTGTTCTGCTTTCTGAATGTGTTTCAGATTTTTAACTCAGATTAAGACAGGATATCTTTTTAAACAGAAGATTCTTTGGGTATTTTATTTTCAGCAATATATAGCAAATTAATTGCTATCCTAATTACTGTTTGTATAGTATATCTAATCTAATTAGAGTGCTTCATAAATCTTGTCTTAAGATCTATAGAGAATGTTTTACAAATTTGTTTAACCCTAATTTAAATTAATTTAGGTAACTAACTTGTGCTGTATGACAGCAGTAAGAAATAAACTCTAGTTATACAGAGTCCTAGCTGTTTACATGGCAGAATATTCAAAGTTAAAACCAAACAAGCCATGTGATAACTTAGTGCAATGTTGACAATGTCTGTGATCACAAATATACAGAACATAAATAGGCCAATTACATTTCAGCCTAGTATATTGGTCAGATTGAGACTATATTATTACGTTTTGGTTATAGTGCAGTGCACTAGTACAGATAGTCCTTGACTTACAGTTCATTTAGTGACCATTCAAAGTTACAACAGCACTGAAAAAAGGGACTTATGACCATTTTTCCCACTTATGACTATTGCAGCATCCCTTGGTCACATGATTAAAATTTAGACACTTGGCAACTGACAGGTATTTATGCAACCTTCTGACAAGCAAAGTCAGTGGGGAAGCCAGTTACTTAACAACTGTGTCACTAATTTAAAAACTGCAGTGATTCACTTAACAACTATAGCAGGAAAGATAGTAAAATGGGGCAAAATTCACTTAACAAATGACTTGCTTAGTAATAAAAATTTTGAGCTTCATTGTGGTCATAAATCAAGGACTAACTGTATTTTTATAAAGCTGTGTCAATTGAATAAACTGTGGTTCAGACAAGCATTTTATGAAGAGAATGTGTTTTTTAAAGACCAGTTGAGAAAGCACATCAATACAATACAATACAAAAAAAATTGATATGGAAGATTCATATAATATCGAATAGTTGTTGCTTATGACAGGAATTCCAAAACTAAAGTTCCTTTAAGATTGCTTGTCAGTCAGTGACAAGAAAACCTATAGGACAGAATCTTCTCGGGAGATGGCCCAAATTACTCAGCAGCTTGAGGCAAAGGACATGATGCCCCCCCCCCAACTCAGAAATTAATCACTTTAGCAGAGAGCAATTTAAAGAATTGCAAGACCCTCCTAGAAGGATGGATGAAGAAGCACTAAAATGGTGAGCCACAGCTCCAATAGTTGTAGGAGGGGTTCTTATCTGCTTTCTGCCACCTTCATAGAGCCACTTTCATAGAAATTGACAGAAACCTCGAACAGGTGATCTGGTAAACGAACGTTACAACAACTAAGATTAAGGGGAGACCATACATTTCTTAGAAGGTTCTCCTGTTTTAAGAGAAGGTGACGGGAAGGGGGAGACCAAATCAGACTGGCATATTTGGCCCGGCGTTCTTCACCGGGGAGCCGGAAAACGCAACAGGGCAGTGAGCGAACCCTAAGACAGCCGCTGGGGATCCGCCTTCTCGCTGTTGCCTCCCTGTTTCTCCCCACCCCTAGAAGGCGGTGCGACCTGCCTCCACTTCCCAATGTTGGACCAGCCTTGGCACATGGAAGGAGCGGGAGCTCTCCTGATGCCAGCCAGCGGAGAGAGCGGCGGCCACAGGACCAGGCTCCGGCTGGACGCTCTCGGCGCCTCTTTCGCTTCTCGCGCAGGACTCCATCGGTGCCTGAAACCTGGGCTGTCCCCTTCTCTGTCCCAGGGGCTGCAGCCTGTCTTTTTCTCCGCTTCCTTTGTGTGCGTGAGGGAAGCATAGGCGGTGGCGGCGGAGGAGGTGGAGTCGCTCCCTGCTTCGCTTGTCAAGGCTTAGCCGTTTAGGCGAAGGGAGGGGAAAAGGCGAAGGAAAAGAACTGCTGGGGCGGCTCTAGTCACCGGGAAGCTTTTTATTCCTCGGGCAGAGAGAAAGGAGCCCGGCACCTTTCCTTGGCCAGCTTCTCCTCCTTGCTAAGCCTCAAAAGGACCCAAACAAACCAGTTACAACAGCACGTAATTCTGACAAGGAGCGAGCAAAGCCCAGGCATCGCTTGCTGTTGCTGCTTTGCTCGACGCGGCTCCGCACTTTGAAATGGGTCGGGAGAGGCGGAGGCAACCGAACAGCAACAGAAACGCCTGGACTAGTCACTAAGGAGGCCGAAGGGAAGAGGATGGCCACTTCCAGCAACTCTAGTTTGTCTGGCTCCTCTGTTTCCTCGGGTGAGTTTACAGTAACTGCTTTTCTTTCTCTGGCAAGGTTTACCTATCTCCTATCTTACTCTTCTGGTCTCCCATAGGCTTAAATACTAAGTTGCTCTTTTGCCCTTTCTCTTTCTGTAGTAGGAACACCTGAGTCTGGATGCAGCTGCGTTTATTCCCTTTTCAGGTAAAAAGGGAAAACTATTTCTAGGAAAGGAAGGTGAATCTTTTCCCTGGATGCTAAGTTGAGAGAAAATAAATATAATGATCTAGCATTTTTATATCTTATGGGCCTTCTCTCCACTGATAATTAAGAGTTTTTTAAACTCATTATATACTACATTAGTATATAATCCACAAGTAAAAAATAACCAGGAGACATTCCTGATATCCAGTTGACATGGACCTTAGGTCAAACAAAAATATGCATTAGTTTCTATTCATTACTATTCAAGATAATTCCAGAATCAGCAATCTCCAAAAATACATGTGCTTAGCTGAGCAGTTTATTCTCAGTGTGTGATTACACCTGTTCAGATGCTGAGACACATGATGTAAACTGTGGAATATTAAAGAAACCAATTTCCCCTTCTCTTAGTTTTTTACCTAGACGGGATAAGCAAGTAGCACATCTTATACTGAGATGAGTCACTCTCGCAGCTGAGGAGAGGCAATTCTTGATTATATTACCAGGGTGGTGACTAGCAGCAAACAACTTTTAAGATGTCAGGATTCTCAAATACAGAGGAAAATAATTTTTAATAAATTTCTTCTGTTCTTTGCTGTAACTTCTGGGTATCTTTGAAGACATCTGAAAGAGAAGTTGAGTCATTGGAAGGCTTGCCAATATTTTTTCAAAGGGTGACAGTGGACCACCAAGAGTATTTTGGTTAACTTTATGATATTCAGGCTAAAGAATTTGTATATAGTATACTGTATATACTATACTGTATATAGTATGCATATGAAATGTTGCCTGAGTTAAAGAATTTATTTTATTTTATTCCGTTAGGTACTCTAGCTGTTTTCAGTTTACTAAAGACTTCTTTAACTGTTTGGGTTTTTTTTTTAGTTTATTGAATTAGTTAAAAGTAAGACCTTTATTTAAGTACATAAAATGTAATGCTAATTAAAAATTTCAATATGTGAGTAGAATGGTACTCATGAGAACTTGTACTCATGTATTTTTGCAGATTTGAAGAAACAAATAGTACCTGAGCATAATCTGATTAATTCGGGACCGTAATTTTATTATATTTGCTGATGTTTTATTTGCACTTCAGCAACTGGAATATTTATTTATTTAGAAATATATTAGGCTGTTCACCTCCTTAACACCTCTGGCTATCTTACAAAGCTATAATGAAAACAATAACATTAAAATTAATAAAAATATTAAAAATTAAAACAATGCTTAATATCGCAATATTAAAATTTTGAAAGGTCTAAATAAACATATTTTGAATCCTCCCTAAACTAAGGAAATACTGTTTCATTTCCAGTGCAAATTGATTCCATAACATGAGTTTCCTAATAGAGAAAATAGAATTAGGTATTTATTTCAAATGTGTATATGGGGGCCTTGCAGTGGTGTTCTGTTAATTACTTAAATGTATGAAAAAAATGGATCAAAGCATTTAAAGTTCTATATTCTAAGTACATTGAGCAGGACCTTGAAGGTAACTTTCAACCAAGGGGCAGTTTTTATTGATATAAGGAATCTATAAGACCTTCAAGTGACATAATTACTTATAGTAAACACTATTTTCATTTACTTGCAAATTGCCAAAGCTGATAAAAAGACTCTCCAGTGTTATTTGATTGTCTAACTCAGGGGTAGGCAATCTTGGCTCTTTTGTGACTCATGGACTTCAACTCCCAGAATTCCTGAGCCAGCCATGCTGAGGGGAAGGGAGAAGTTTCCAAGCTGAGCCATGCTGGCTCAGGAATTCTGGGAGTTGAAGTCCACAAGTCTTAAAAGAGCCAAGGTTGCCTACCCCTGGTCTAACCTGTACCAACGTTGCATCTGGAATGATCTCAAGTGAGAATATAGAACAGACATACCTTTCCAAGTCTGTTCCTCAAAATGAATAATAATTTATCCAAGTTTAGGCTCAGCGATGCTAATCTTTATACAATGTGGAAATAATTAAAGATTTTGGAGCCAGAATTTATATTATGTTGAAAGTTTTGACTCTGGCATCTTTTTTGTCAAAGCTGTTGATTATCCTACATAATTTTGTATCTGTGTGAATATTTATTCTCAGCCATGGGTAACTGGATAAAACTGTAAATGACAAAAGTAGCATTGCTTTATTTTGATGCAAGTTTTGCCTCTTTGGTACAAATTTAGCAATTCCCTATAAAATAGGGGAAACTGGGTTTATTACAATGCTCCAGTAATCAGTTTGGTAAAACCATGAGATTCTGCAGGTGTCTCTGCTCTACTTGACCTAATATCCTAGATACAATGTCCTGAGGTGATGCACTGATATAATGTAGTACTACATACTCATTATAGTGTATAAGATTATTATTCAGATTAATGTTTTACTAACTAAAAATAAAAGGTTGAATAACACCAGAGAGACAGAAAGAGAGAAGAATTATTTATGGGAAATTGAGCATCTGAGGAAAAGACTCTAAAGTTGCAGTGTGCCAGAAAGCTATTGCTTAATGACCTGATTCATGCTATGCTCTAAATTATGCTTTAATAAATCATAGTTTATGGAATAAATCATACTTGGTTGTGCTTGAACAACATTCTGAGCCATAACTTTAATTTATAAGCCACAGTAGTTGTGGTCACAGATCCTGATAACTAAACCAGTATCTACGAAATAATATTATGATTTAACCTTTTTTTGTGAAATAACCATATTAAAATAAAATGGGACAAAATTAATAGAAAAAAAACCAATAAGAGGAAAAGCAGGAAAGGGATGAATCTTCTGCATTTTAAAGTAGATAAAGCATGATCTCTTCACAAGAAAGAGATAAGTAATTAGCTATCCTAAATAAATTGTACTATCATGTTTACCGTATAGCAAAAGATATTTGGGTAAAATAGCCTAACTGTATCTATACGTTTTGGGCTAGTGGAACTGAAAATCACTCTGTAAAATTGGAGTAGATATTTCAATTAATTTTATGTTAAAGTTCATTGAGCAAGGAATTAAAAACTTGTTTTTTTTATATCAATACCTGTTGTGAATTTTAATTGTAAGAGTTTCAAGTCAGATAAAATAGGTATTTCATGGTGCATGATTATATGATGGAATACACAACTGCAAGATGTAGGATAATTTTTAAAAGCCCTCAGAATTTATGGCTATCCCAAATGGGCCTTCATCAATTCCCAAAAAAGACCCAGCAGGAGCTCCTCCATAACAGACAAAGAAGAAAACAATAAACAAGGCAATGTAGTTATTCCATATGTTGCAGGAATATCAGAAAAGCTCAGGATGATCTTCAGCAACATAACACACAGGCACACTTCAAACCCATGAATGCACTAAGGCAGAAGCTTGTCCACCCCAAGGATACAATACCCAGACAAATACTAAGCAACATGGTATGTATAGTACAATGCAGTGAGGCATGTGCATATCTGTACATTGGGGAAACAAAACAACCACTTCACAAATGCATGGGACAACATAGGACAAGATTCAGCAGTCTATCTGCATTTAAAAGACAAAGACCACTTGTTTGAAGACAGCAAAGTCCACATTTTGGACAGAGAGGACTGCTGGTTTGAAAGAGGGTCAAAAAGGCCATCTATATAAAGACTGAACAGCGCTCATTCGATAGAGGGGGAGGGATACGACATCATCTATCTTCAGTCTACAACACAGTCCTTTCAATAATTTCAAAAAGGCTCCATACCCACTTGCACTACTCAGATGACCCTGATGACACAGATAAACCTCCAAATGACATCAATGACTCTCTAAAAGAATGCAAATGACCAGCTGTCTACAAGGAGTATAAATCCTTCTATTTCTCCCACCATCCAGTTAGAGCTGAAGAAGCTTTTGGGATGAGAAGTGAAACGTCTTCAAAGAAAAACAAAAAATTCCAGTTGCCTCGTGGGTTTAAAAAGGAATTAGCCAAATTCATGGGCAAATATATTTGTATTAAAGACTAACTTCAGCACTTGCTGTGAACTTAGATGGGGAGGTATTTTTGTGCTCATGTCCTGAGGAAGGGCCTCCTATAGATTTCTGATCATCTAGGGCAGGGGTGTCAAATTGCCGGCCTGCGGGCTGGTTTCATCATACCGGAGCCACGCCCATCCCATTGCCGGCAATGGCAAAAAAACTCTGATACGTCATGTGACGTCGCAAGTTTGACATTCCTGATCTAGGGACTAGAATTTTGGATTAGATAGGCCTCTGTTTTGCTGTGCTTGAGCATGATTAGGTCTCTATTAAAAATGTTCCATATATAAGATTCACTTAGATTAGTTTAATGATTTGCCTAATTTAGAATACAAAATGTACTAAGTGCCATCAATGCACTAGGCAAAAAGGCTTGTTTTTGATATGTATATATTTTAAAATATGAGAATGCTTTTTAAAGTTCTCTTCAATAAGAAACATTTGTCTGTCTTTGTGTGAAATTCTTGAACTTGTCAATCACGGTTTCAACTGACTGTTCTTTTTTATTAAACAAAAAAAAAGTACAGGGAAAATTAGGACCAATGTATGTCATTTTCCCCTCCTTGCAGAAAAGTTTTCAAATACTGCAGTGACTCCAGAATATTTGACTCAATGCAGCCACATTTTGACTGGTTGTGGTTTTTGTTTCTCAGACCTCAGCAAGTTTTTCACCATTTTCTAATGGCCTGTAGTCGCTGAATCCAACTTTTAAAGATGAACAGAGTACCATATGTGGCTTTAAAAAATAGGTTTTGTAAATGATATATAATTATTTCTATTCATTTGACTTTCCATTGCAAGATTTTCTGTTGTTTGCATAAGGATGAAAACATGAGACCAATAAATTAACAGTTGAGA